TACTCCCTTGTGTGCTATAAGATATCCACTAGATCTCTGATGCAACATTCTGGGACTGATGGCCACTAAATACCTAATGCGTGTGCTATAAGATGTCCACAGGGAGAAGATCTCTGATGCAACATTCTGGAACTGATGGCCACTAAATACCTAATGCCTCCCTGTGGATATCTTATAGCACATGCATTAGGTATTTAGTGGCCATCAGTCCCAGAAAGTTGTATCAGAGATCTATTCTCTGTGAATATCTTATAGCACACACATTAGGTAGTAGAGTGGTATTACCACTGTTGTTGGAACACAAGGACAGTGGTACCGTGTTTCTATTATATACAATTGATAGTATGTAAAGGCTTCCACTGTTACCAGACCCATCTCTTTCCCTTCTAATACCACACAGGTAACATGTTTGCTTGATACACTGTTCAGAAATAGGAATCTTCCAATGACAGTGATATAGATAATATAGATATGTGAGCAATACTGCTAGACAGGTAAAATGAAGCCAAAGTTTGTTACATTTGGGTATAATGTAATGTATAGGCAACAAACAGTGATATCTTGCCAACTTATTCTCTTGAATATGATTGAATATGATGATATAGATGCTTCCATCTATCACCATATCAGCTTTTGTGTATAGTATTGGATTTTTTTATAAATATGTTAGTTTTCTATAGCAAGTACACAAGTTTTTAAGACAGAAAACATGCTATAATTTATATACTGACCTGCAAGTATTAGTGGCTCCATTTTGGGTATTGTGATGTTGAAAGAGTATAAAATAACACATCTGTCCCTGTATTTGTGCATTTGTATTTGTAGGTCATTTTAGGATCTTATTAACATTCACTCTTGTAAGAAATATATTTGGTATATTACCAGTGTCTTTGATCAAATAAGTATTTATCAGAATAAGAGGTTCTTGCTTAAGAGAAAATTTAGACAGAGCATGTTATATTTTTAATGCATTGTTAATGGAATGTATATAGCAAGTTTGTGGACAGTGTTTCGAGCTGTTGGCACAGATTTTCATCAGATGAAGATCTGTGCTACCATCTCAAAATGTTATAAAACAATTCCTTGACAGATACAGTTCATTAAAAACACTTTTCAAGAATAGGAAGTGTCAAACATGAATAAGCAACTTTTTTTATGCTGTGTGAAATTTTTAATTCAAACAGGGAACAATTTAGTTAAATCTATTTTTTGTATATCTTCCTCAAAAATGTATTAATAGTGATTCCATTTTATTGGTCTGCTCCAGTTATTTGCAGATTTACACAGTAATTGTTCGCTAATAAAACAGCAACTAAAATTATATTCGCGGGTGACATGACAGTTAATATGTGTGCTATAGATATGAAAAATTCTATTGTTTGTTTAGTATTTACCAAGTAATTTTATGTATGAAAGCTGCTTCATGTTTATTTCCCTCTAATATACATAAGTTTGTAAGTCATCTTTTTTAGCTCTTTCAACAGTTAATTAACATTTGTAGTGAAAGAAAATGAAACTGTATTCTGTGCTAGTTTTTTGTTGTTGTTGTTGTCATTGTTGTTGAAAAAGCTAATAAATATTTAAAAAAAAACATTTATATATCATAGATTGATTGAAATACTAAGGCACAAATAATTTTGACCAAAACATTTTTAATTTTTCTTTCAGGAAACATTCTGTTGAGTGTCAACGTTCTGAAGTTCAAAACTTGTACATTTCAGTTTTACTGAAAAACTTGAAGTTCATACTATTTCATAATGAGGAGGTAGCAAAAAATCAGTCATTTGCCAGTTTTGCTTTGAGAAATTTATTCCTTTTCCATTCCTTGTCAGTATTTTAAAAACTTCAATGCCTTGATGTAGATTTCACCATTCTTCTGTCTTAATTTAGCAAAGCTTATTCTTTTGCAAGCTTGCTTAAGATTATAATATTTTCACCTCTTCAAAAAGGCTATTACTGAAGAACAAGAGACCAGTTTTTGTTCACAAAATAGGTATACTAGTGGAAGTCCAGGAGGTAAGCTCATTCAAATATATTATGGATTTTTATTTTACATATATTTTGACTCTTTTATTGGGTTTTCATTTGAATAATTGTATTGTTTTTTACTGTAGTAATAATTAAGAAAAATAAGTAAAATTTCAATTTTTTTTTGCATACTCCCATCATAAAGATAATTCAACATCCACTTAGTGATTGTAATTACTGGTTTTTATACTGAAGTAATTTATCAATTCTAATAGTATATTCATAGCCTAAGAAATTAAAAATATATTTAAATTAAAGTGATTGGATCAACTGTTACCAAAATTGTACCAAAATATAGCAAGCATTATGAAAACAGAATAATATAGAACGTACAGACTGTTTATGAGTAAATTAAACATTGAAGCATTGTTCTCCAGATTTTTGAAAGTTATTTTTGTGCCTATTAATAAACAAAATCATAAAAATATTTTGAAATTTTCTGTGATAAAATGAAATTGAATCATTTAACTTAGTTAGTTATTGATTTGGACTGCATTTCAAAAGCTAATCTTTGGGATTTGATCAGTAATAAACTATGATTTGTTTTGTATTTATTGTAATTATTGTTCATAAAACAGTATTTGGTAGTAGTACCAACATATGAGAAGAAACTGCTGACTTTGCATTTATTGTAGATTGTTAATAGTAAATAGGAATCAGAAACTATTGTTATTGTATTTTGTCATCTGCAATTACACACATACATACATACATACATACAACAGTTAACCTCACAAAATCTGAACATTTGCTATTCGGTTATTTGCTGATGTTAATCTCCCAGCTCTGTGCAGGATTAATGAGATTTACTTGTTAAAAAGAAAAACTTTACTCAAGGTCAAAGTAATAAAGATACTGTATGTGGTACATGAAAGAGTTTTTTCAACTATGCACTCTTAATCAATGTGAAAAGCTGTGAAACTACTGTTTTATGAATGTACTTAAATTACAGTACCTATCATGGTCATCCTGGGGCAGGTTATCTGATGGCAAATAACAACACTCCTACTCATGACTTTGCGCCAGCGTGGTTAAAAATACCATCTTATGAAACAAGTGTAAGTTAACTTTTCTCTGTTATATTTGTAATTTGTTTATATATATATATATATATATATATATAT